GTATTTCATCAATCTTCACTACTGCTTTTGACACGATTGTGGTTAAAAGAAAATCGCATGCCAATTACCAACATCCATCACCTACTCAGGATATTTTCCAGCCCACCTAGTTTCACGAACCCTACGGAGATTCTATCTATCCCCCTCTCCCCCCCCCCCCCCCCCCCTCCCCCACATGACTCATCTCAAAATGTAACGGAAGCATAGATTGTAGTGATTGTGAATGGAATTGGTGAATCTGTAGGGTATAATCGGCCACAATATGCACAATTAACAGTGGCAGTTGGAAGTATCCCTCATCATATTTCTGTTTGACTCAAAGTTGGTATTAGAAACTCCTCCTCGTTTATGAGTGAAACGGAACTCAAAACACAAACAATTTTTCTTCATGAATTGAAGAGAAATTCAACTACTTTTAAATCTTCTGACTTTGATGCAATGAAGTTGGCAATTTTGGGGCAAGTTTTAGGCACCCAAGGATTCAAATTTAGTGGCACAATTCTGGGGCATCATGGACATCATGGAAAGCCCAAATTATTTGCCGAGACCTTGATGGCTCCGTCTGCTAATGTCTTCTCTTGCCTTCTGCAAGCTTAATTAATGAAACCACAGCAATTCAAGAGGTGCAGATTAGATGAAACGGCTATTAGAATGAATAGCGTGAATAGCGTTTCGAAAAAGATCGAAAAAGGCATTATTAAGGAGTAACAATTCATAAGCCTGTCCTTTAATTTATGTTTCAAATTTTAGCCTTCATATTAACATTTCTGAAAAACTATCGGCCACATCGATATTGCACTTGGTTCTGTTTAGCGAACAATTGCGCACCAACTGATTGGATTTTCTGAAATAAACCACCTGCAGACATAGCTAATTCTTTTGCTCAGGTTAATACGCTACGATAAACTAGATTAAACGAACTCAGAATCCTTTATTCTCAGAATTGGGAAGAATCGAAAATATATTCTAGTTTTTCCTTTGCTGTTTTTTATAACAATACTTAAACAAAGACCAGATTTATTGATTATGTGGCAATTATTTAAATGCTCTCTAAAGTTAAGTGGAAAATAGTCCAGGTCTTTACATTCTAATAATTTTAATACATTATAAGCATAAACAGAACTCATTTAAAAATGTATCGACTTTTTATCCAACAACGTTAATAGCTGAAGTATTTGAATAATTAAATCCATAAGAGCCCCTTAATTTCTGTTTTTCATAAATACCGTCTCCCCCCTAACAGTTTAGTCGAAATTCATCGCGTGCCAAGTGTAGACAGTTGAAAAAGTGGAGCGTCTTGTTTACCCAGAGTCATTCATTCCCTGAATGATTAACGGGAAGGTGGCGATTGTAGCGATTTTGAAATAGTTTTCTTACTGGTGATTGCAAATGGGTGAAACACTGTTAACAAGTAACGGAATTTTGGCACAATGAGAAACAAATTTAGCATAAATTAAGAATTTACTAAGTAGAGGGTGCGATATAATTGCCACTGAGAATAGCCATTTACAGTTTTGGTAGGAGTTAAGCCACAGGTTAGCAAATTTCTGGAGAGGCGTAGCATACTCGAAAATGACGAAGGGCAAAAACTCTCCAGTGTTCAAATAAAAAGCAGTTATATACAAAAGTTGCTAAAGTACATTTCAATTTTGTGGGTGCAGTTAGTTTATGAAACTTTCTAAATGAGATTTAAGACTGAAGTTGGAATAATTTTATAATTTGAAGTATTTGGCACAGATTTATTTTTTCAATAATTTTTAAATAGATGACTGGTTATTATTATGAAAATACTCGATATTACAATGCGAGTTAAGTAAACAAAATAAGTAAAAATATGATAAAAGGCAGTCTTAATATGGCCCAAATGAACTCTGCGTGGTAATTTTCTTTGTTTTAAAGGCATTTCAAAGTTCGCCTCAGGAGGCTGAAACCAATAAAAAGGATAGTGTCCCAGCAGATACTAAATTGCAAGTTTATTACAGAAAATAGTCAATTTAATTACTATAACGCGAATATTGTACAGAACCACCGAATGGGCTTGGAAAATAAAAACGAAGTAATATGCTTCTACTTTTACATTAAAAGTAGACAGTATTTTAAAGCTCCAAATTGAAAGGGGATTTAATGCCTCATCGATCCGACATTTTGGAAAAAGTTATAGGTTATCAATTTTTAATTTTCCATACTTGATTGGATCATAATTAATAGTGATCTTTTCTAAATTTTTCCTAAAGCAGGAACAACGAGTAATGTCTCGTAAATGAATGTGAATTCGGTTAATTAATGAAGGAAGTAGGTAAAATAATTAAAGTTAGAGTAGCGCCTTATTGACTTATCTAATAAGTTCAGTTTCTTTTCACGATCTTTGACATCGTATTTGTCATCTGTTATTCAGTACTTAGCATTTCTTGCAAAGCCATATAGAACTTCACTCATACAGTGTTAAATGCATTATTAACTTCGCTCGATTGCCATGAAATTCCCAAATCGAGTGATTGGTAGTTTTTTTCACAATGGAGTATGTCGTATGTGCTAGTTTTCGATTTTATGAAGTCCGAAGATATTTTGCTATATTGGTTTAGCATCGTGATCAAACTCAGGGACTACAAATCAGTACTATATTTAGTGAGCTCCTATTGACCATAGTACGAAAATGTTTTAAATAAACGGCCAGTTGATGAAATGAAATTGTTATTAGTCACGGTGATAGCAAATTCTGTTTGCTTACAGTTCAACATGATGATAATTTGCTTGGGTTTCAGCTTAGAGTATGCAAAAAGAGTAGAATGGCGCGTCATCCTTTCAAACAAATTTACTTTGAGTGATGTAGGGGAGTGCGATAGACTTACCTTCACGTGGTGCACCCTGGGCAACGTATACTCATAGGGCAAAAAAGTCTATTAATCGGCAGTTCACTTGCGACTTCGTGAGTCATATACGACTACTTTCACAGTACTCATCTTGCCTTTTCTCTGCCTCTGTCTCTTTCACATCTATGAATCATTATTCTGTCCCCCCCCCCTCTCGACATTTTGCCATTTTGATGTTCCTCTTCCTTTCTGTGTAGCCCGAAGTCAACTAAAGAGCTAATGATGACTATCAAAATGCCAGCCATTTTACTTTAATAAATAAATACTGTGGGTGATGTTAAAGGGGGGGGGGGTCAGATAAGTGATCACTGGCTATATTAAGCGTAGTTCATTTGTTTCAATTCCTGTTAATTTCGTCAAAATTAAAGTGACCACAGTCATGTATGACAACATGCTCGTCAATTGCAAAACGAGCATTTCAGATTCTGATTGTTTCACAATAAAAAGGTGACATCTCTCTGGTTTTTCTCTTATTAATTCAGTATGGGAAAGCACAAATAGAGAACTCAGCCACGTTAACTGCACGAACATGTGATGCCACTTTTAATTATATTCCCCCCTTGGAAATTCTAATATATCACGTGATGAACTTCCGTAACTTATTCCCAACCCTGTCATATGATCACCCATTTTTTGTAAATGTTATTCACTTAAACAAACAGTCTATTATCTGAGCTAAAAGAAAAAGGGGTTGGCCATGTGAACATTTTTAAATTAAAAATTCAATTAGAACATAATTATTTAAATTCAAATTTTGTAATTATTTTCCTATCTGCATTCGATGGATGGCGTGCTGTCCTTGTTTACGATTTCGGTTGATATCCAATTTCTGCAGTAAAAGTAGGCTTTTAAGGATTCCACGAAATATTTATTAGATGTCAATTATATGCTAAATCAAAAACGAGGCGGAAATTTAATGGATGTGTAAAATCAGTTAAGTATAATTTAGTGGTGAGATTAGATCACGTACTTGACGTGGGTACTCCACTCAACGCTGGTTTACCACTTTGGGAGCGTGCAGTTTTTGACAATTATTTGAAATTCGCTAGAAAAATGTATTGTGTGTGCAGAATAAAAACTGAATAGGTATTAAAAATGCAGCCTTTGGAATGATCACAAAGACAGAAACATTGTAAGCCCCTTTTTGCCAGTACCTCATCGATTAACTACCTGAATGAGTAGGCGATAGCTTTGTGTGTTTGAGACCAAAAGGTCAAGTTACGCTTTGTACCTTCTAAATTCATTTGGTGGGGAAGAGAAGCAAGTAATTTGTGCAAAGATTTATCAAGTTGGGGGGGGGGGGTGGGGGGGGGGGGGGGGGGGGGGGGNGGGGGGGGGGGGGGGTTGAGGGGAGAGGGGGAGGGGAGGGAGAAAGGTCAGTGGAACAGGAGAGATTTCTATTTGTGAAATAGGTGGATTCCTCAGAGAGGACAAATTGGGCTCTTGGGCAAAAAACAGACAGTGTTCGGATGAGGTAGTGGCAATAAGTATGCTCCCAATACATTGTGCAAAAGTGCGAATGAAATTTATGTACTAAATTCTTTACGATATGGTTATCGCAAACAGAAAATAACCAAGGCTAAAAATGCATTTTCAGTGATGGAGTCAATTACAAATACGAAGGAAACAGCAAGACTTGAAACTATAACAAACATTGGTTAGGTAAACGTGGAAGAAAATAGGAACGCCCATATACATTATTGCAATATGGCAATACATGGCTCTCCTTTTGCAAGTCGATTGGATTGACCGAGTTTTAATTTTAAAACCCACGAGAGCGCTAAAGTGATAGGCATCTATTTGGAATTGAACAAATGAAAAATCGTATTATCCCCTTATCTTAAGTCTTTACTAGGAGTTGCTTTTCAGTAATTTTATTGATCAATATTTAACATGCTTTCTGGTGATACGATAATTAAAACAAAGTCAACTGGAATTTTCCATGTTTAGTGAACCTTAAATTTCAAAAGCATCAACTAATTACAAGTAAAATAGATTTTTAATATATTTTTGCTCATATAATTTAAACCAAGCTGTTTCGGATTGCATTCAATTAATTTTAGAAAGAATGTTTGGCTAGCATAACAAAGATTGAACCGTCGACACATATTGGTCAATAGGCTGCATAGCATGCACAGTCCAGAAGAAAGTAGAGAGTTCTTCAAGGCCTTCAATAAAAGTATGCATCTAGAGGCGCCAAGTAAGGGAGTGCGATTGTGTGGCCAAGTTCTTATTGACTGCCTGTAGTAAATGAAAAGATTGAAGCTTTGAGCATTTACAGCAAAGTTAGTAGTACATGCTACTAACAACTTTCGCAATTTTCCATATATCAGTAGTTAAGTTAAGAGAATTCAAACTATGCAAGTGCACAATCAGTAATATAATTTTAACGATCTGATATTACAGTTGTCAAACGCTCGTCTGCATGGAGCGCTTACTGTTACTCTGAAGTTCTGGTTAGCGAGGAGTTTAGTCGAAAGTCACATCGATTATTAAGTCTTAATCGTAACCAGAAATCAATAGTGATCCAATTGTTACGACTTTTGTGTTGTCACCATTAATAAGTCGTTAAACCCAACGTGGTCTTCATTTGTTAAGCACTGCATCGACTAGCCTTGAATATTTATTTATTTATTTCAAATGGCAGGCGTTTTGATGGTCGTCATTAGTCCCTTAGTTGACTTCAGGCTTCACACAAGGGAAAAACATCAAAGTGGGAAAAAGTCGAGAGGAGGATAGAAGAGTGAATTACAAATGTAAAAGCGACAGACAGACACCAAGGTAGAAAAAAGAGAGGTGAGTACTGTGGTACTGGTCGAATATGGCATACAGTAGGGTCATGGTAGCTTGAAGTCAGAAACCAACTGCCGATTTATAGACTTTTTTACCCTATGAGTATACGTTGCCCAGGGTGCACCACGTTTAGGTAAGTCTATCGCACACCCCTAGCCTTGAATATAAAACCTAATTTAATTACTTGATACTTAGAGCCTTAAGTCGGTAAAAGAAAGGTGATATTTTTTAATCCTCCCCCTCACCCCTTCCTGCATTTTTTCCCCTCCATAATACATCTCTGATCACATGACGAGAGCAAAGTCTTACATTTCCAGTGCATTGGCATTTAAAAGGACTCGGTTGGTAAATGCTAGGCACGTGATAATTTCACGCTTTTCGTGATCATTTTGCAAAATTTGAATTAATGACTGCCAACCTCCTACATACTAGTATGATTTAAAGTGGAAAATTCAATTAGGTGAACAGCTCTCAGGAGACGTAGGAATATTCCATTGCAAAATGAGCTTGTAAGAAGCAAATTAACTTTTCACACGATGACACTGGAATTAAGGGTACCCATAAACTTGATGCTTGAATGAGCTCATGATAGATATCACTTTGGGTGGGTAAAATTTATCACTTAGATCACCTTAAAAACCCAATTTGATCATGCCTGCCAATACCACTGCTATAATTCAGTTAAATCATAAGTTAAACTATCAATTCTTGATTTTTACAATCCATTCAACCCAAGTACGCTTTGAATACCTGCATAACTGGATAGATATTTTTAAATAACATTGACAACTAACTGCAAAACATCTTCTATTTTTTTCCTTTTGACGTCTTAAATCAATATTGATTTATCTTAGGAGATGTGATTAAATAGAACTGGTTAGCGTGCTTTGTTTCGGTTCTATTTCATTTCAATTAATGAATCACGGGATCGATAATTGTCTTGCACTTCTAAATTAATCTATACTTCAAAATTTGAGAGTTTTCGAGTAAATAAGTAGGTGGAGTCACAAACGTAATTTAAGCATTCTATTCCTTCGAGATAAAAGGCTATTTATTATAACGAAAGCAAAAACGCGAATGTTCTAAAAGAAAATATTGACTACTTCAAGGCTTTGATGCGAAACACTTTTGCTTTCCAAGCTTTCATTGTCAACCAACAAGCTTAGACTAATTCCATGGAATGTTGAACATAAGAGTAATGAGAATAACCGAGGACTTAAGAATCTAAGGAAAATCAATTATTTTTTGCTAAGCTCAATCGCACATTCAATGACTGTGTGATTAAGAACACGAAGTTTAATGCAAATCAACGCATGCCAATAAACGCACTCTTGAGTACATGCAAATTTTCAAAACAGAAATATAGGGCTATACATGGGTGACATTACTCAGCGAAGCGGAAAAGGAAAAGTTTAAAATTGAAATTTCAACGAATTTAGAAAATATCTTCACGTTTGTCACATTGCACGAAGATTTTCTACGTTTTTAGAGAATAATTCGCACCTACTACAATACTTTAAGCATAAATTCATACTAAAATTCCCCTTACTGTTTAATTGAAATTTCTAATTTTTCCAAGTTTCCTATTTATGACCAACAGTAATTATGTGAAATGTTTATTAAATTACTATCAATGAGTGCCAGGCAAGCATACTTTTGCAAAGAAATGAAATACTCCAGAAATGGACGCACTTACACAGTTTATTCCCCCCACATTTACGCACAAATAAGTGAATCCGTGTCTACGTCAATGACGCCGATTGGCTATTGCCTTACCAATCAATGCGATGTTTCGTGCAATCATTGGCCCAATCAAGGTCACAAGAAAGAATATAAGTGCTATCTAGCAAACATATAATCATTCCTTGTACCTGATCCAACCAAATTACTGCGACAAAATGGAGACCAACTATAGTAACCGTACTCACCGACCCCACCATTGCTCTATTAGTCCTGGCTCTTGGCCTCGGCCGTATATTTGATGTTCCTTCATCTTCAGAAAGTTGTAGCCCAATTGCTTACAGCCCTGCAAGTTACGGCGACAATGCTGCCTTATTTCATGAACTCTCGGGACATCACTTTGAAGACATAAATGTCAAACTTACTTCAAAAGAAGTGCCAAAATGCATAGGAGAGGTAGTAGATATACCCAGTCTCTCCTCTCATCTTGCTGCAGAATCTATTCTCGCTGCAGAAGCACGAAAAGGTTCTGATCAATGGTTGGCTGTTCATGTTCAAGATACCACCACGATTCTTCTCTTTCCTCCACTCGGATGTGTGAGTCTTGGACGATTTGGACTCACGTCCTGCATGGAATGGCTCGAAGATTGTGGCATATCGCAAGTACTTGTGGTTGTGCCGGCAGTTAATGAGGGAGAGGCCATATGTAAGAGCCTTCTCTTTCTTGGGTTTTCACGTCTCCCCAGGGACGTAGCTGCCACACAACTACCTACTTGGCTTGGAAAGTACAACATTTTAGTGACTGATTTTACTGAAATATAAAGCAAGCTAATTTTTTATCAGACTGGATAATTTAACCAAATTTATACATAAATTAAAACACCTATTTCAATGTTGTATATTCATTCGTAAATAAATGTACTGTGGTTAACAAATACGGAGTTTTCCCTATCATAAGTAAACAAAGGCATAGAAATAACGTTAATCACAACTTCTGCCTTTTGCAATTGGGCCGGGGCTAAGGTTATCACTAAAATAATTTAGCTCAACTTCGTTAATAGGTAGTTTGACGTAATGATTTTAGCAACTATTAGTTTACAATTACAATTTCAATCTCACCAAAGCTCTCCTTTTAATAATAAATTAATTCAAATCTTTATTCATATAACTAGTATTGAGCACTTATTTCAAGAGAACAAAACAGAGGCATTGCGAATTCAATTACAATAGGACTAAAGTTCATCCATGACCTGCATCAAAACAGTGTGAATTTAGTTTCTATTCTTATTTCGCATACTTGCCTATACTCCTCACATTGAATAGTGGGTGTCGATCAATAGTGGAATTATTGATGCTGAGTTCTTTAGAATGTAAGACGTTTAGACATCAAGGGCTTAAGAGCACCTTTATGGTAATTAACCTCTTTCAAAGATCAAGCAATTGAGGGTGATTTTCATTTGATCTTATATACATTTCAAGGGGTGCGCGATAGACTTACCTCCACGTGGTGTACCCTGGGCAGCGTACAATCATATGTCCAAAAAGTCTTTTAAGCCGCAGTTGACTTCTGACTTCAAATTACCATGACCCTACTGTATGTCATATTACACCACTTTCACAATACTCATCTTACCTTTTTTCTGCGTTTGTGTCCATCTGTCTCTTTACATCTGTGAATCATTCTTCTTTCCCCTCTCTCGACTTTTTACCACTTTGATGTTCCTCCTTCCCTCTATGAAGCCCCGAAGCCTGTTTTTGTCACTTTGATGTTCTTCCTCCTCTTTGTGAAGCCCGAAGTCAGGGTTCCTCCTCCCTTGAGCTAATGATAACTATCAAAACGCCTGCCATTTGAAATAGATAAATAAATATACATTTCAAGAAGAAATTGAACTGTGATTACGTAGAAATTTAAGTTTCAAAATCAAAACCTTATTTTTTGCTTTATTCAAATAGCAAACGCAATTTTGAAATCTTGCTTCACTAGTGAAACGACGTTTTGTTTAAATGAACTAAATTCGTGACAGGGTCAAATGTTTGAATTAAAGGTGTATTTACATTGAGATGGAAAGTTTGGATTTTGGATTGTTATAAGCTTATCCCGTCATATTTAACTTTAAGGCTTTGAATGATTGCTTTAATATTCTAGGAAAAGTTCCTCACTGACATCAGACGTTAGAAACGACCTTCTGTAAACAAAAAAGTAATACCATTTTTTCTATTTAATTTTTATTTCGTTTGAAATGAAAATTCCTTCTTTTGAAAACAACTGTTTCATTTTAAGTAAAGACACTTAGGCTCCGATATCTTGAATTTTTTTCCATTTTTTCACACAAGTTTACCTTTAACTTGCACATATTTACGAGACCAGTGAGTGACTTTGTTGCTTTCTCAATAACTACTCAATGAAACAGAAAGCAAAATCAATGAAATCACCATAATCGTGTTTAGTGTTTCTCAAAAGTCATCAGTTTATTTCTTAAACAAATGCATATGAAAGGTTAAAGCGAATCAGTTAAGTGCGGCCTTCTATCAATTCATGAGCTATTTTGCAATAAAATTATTGCTAAAGGCTGCTATTGTTTTCAAATTGTAAAAAACTGGTATTAATTACAGTATGCTCAATTTAAGGTGAAATATTCGCGAGAATATATTCTGCTAATAAAGGCTCTTGCCTTAAGAGATTTTAATCGATTTTAGAGGCAAAAATGTTGAGAAATAATGGCCTATTTTGGAAATACGTCCCGCCTTTTTCGTAACTATCTAGTCTGACCAATGGAATGTAAATACAGTTTTCTACATACGTTCATATATATTCCGAGAATGGTTGATTACAGCAACTAAATTAACTACTCCATGTATAATTTAAATTAATGCTCTTACTAACTAAGAGAGGCAAGCCAACTCTATAAGATTCTAATTTTCAGTGTTAAAGTTATTCCTTCATTAAGTCAATTATCATTTTTATAGACTTCACCATGACAATGTTTATGCAACTTCAAACATGGTTCCGTAGACGTGAATACAAACTTGAGACCTTTGATATTTAATTCTGCATTTAAATCAAATATGCCTTGAACTTTGGAGATTCAAGGTTGGCTAAATCCAGTTGATATATTTTGACGAGAGAGAAAAACGCACATTTCGCAAGGTGATTTCACTGATTCTTTAGCTTCATATTTCAGCCCACTTTCACTCATTTAAATGTAATTATAGAAATGACATTTGCTAAATGAGCCATTTTTCAATAACCTTTAGTGCCCTTTTCCTAGACACTGTCTCATTCAATTAGGCATAATATTAAATGCAATATAAAATAAGATTGTTAAAAAGGTTGGAAGGACTTATAGTGGATACTGCTAAAAAACATAGATAGTCTTCTAACAGGGCTCTTGTATCAGCCACTGATAGAGCACGAAGCGTAAAAGGTGAAAAACATTTACTACATACTTTGCGAAAACTATCAACATGTTTAGTAGCCAAATGCAGCAAATGTTTATTCACTTTCCTTAAACCCGATCGATAATTGGTAAGAGATATTAGCAGTCACTACGCACTTTCCAGAGTGCTCTAGCACGCACGAGTTTCCTTTAAGCCGTCTTGTTAGTACCCCACAAAACGCAAAACTGTGATTACTTGCTAACACTATTTCGTAGAAGCTTAAAAATGTCAGTCAAATATTTCGAGAAATTTCCATTATATTTGCGTGTTCCAGAATCTTCACATGGAGTTATTTAATTTTGAACCAGATATAAGAATATGGGTGGAGCATTTTGCAAGAAAGTATCACATGGTTGAAGATGCAAAACTCAACTCTTTATCTAAATTGCAAATTAACTTTTATTTTGTCAACGTACTTAGTCTCTTGTGACAAGAGAAATAAGCTCTCACATATTAGCCAACCTTGAGGTTAAAGATATTTTTTTATGCACGCACAAGGGGTCAGAAGTTAAATATTTTTGATATGTCGCCTAAGAAATTTGCATATTAGGTTTAATTACTTGTGCTGAATTCTCATAGTGCTTCAATAATGTGACCCTACCTGGTCTGATATACGTAGTGATAGCGAAGTTGACTTAGAACTTAAGCTAGCCCTAAGCGCTGGAGAACAACCGTTAAAGGTGCTTTCCGTTTTCATTCGCATGTTCTGCCATAATGAGCTAGGCATAGAAGAATATATATATATATATATATATATATATATACAGTTTGCTTTAAAATTTCATATTTTAGATAACTATTCACTTCCAGTAAATTTCATTGATGATTTTCATTTATCTACCTGTTTTAGCTAGAAAAATCGCGTGTATTCAACAAATTGTGCTTTAAATAACTTTTAAATATGTGGCTTGATTTATCAATTTCTTCACGATTTAAAATCCTTATTAAAATTTTCTCTTATTATTAAATGTGATAAAAATATATGATAAAATATAAGAAGTTAATTAGAAGCTGTTTCTGAAATTACCTCCATCTTTGCAATTCCCATTAATTGTTAAAATTCAAATCATTTCGCTAATATCGAATAATCGTTTCTTTACACTAAATAAAGTATAAAATCGGCCGCGAATTTATAAATTATTATGGGGAACTAAGATGAACTTTAAATACACAAATTTGTTGAAGGGACTCTTGCTTTAACTCTGAGTTTAATAAATAAATTTTAGTTTATTAACTAGAATGTGGGCATTTCACCGTCAGTCTTAGAACCAACTTTGAGGTCAAATATGCTTAAGGTCCTTGAGGTCCCATCAAGGAAATCACAAGTTATAATATTTTTTTAAATTTTTACATTACTGTGAAGAAAATAGTAATAATGATGTGATAGATTTCACAAAAAACTATCAAAATATTAAAAATAAACACCTTACCCACACTTTGAATTCAAAATACAAGTCCCCAAATAATATAATTTAATAAGCAACACCAATTATTTTAAAAGCTTCAACACTCTATTGCCGCCTTTATGTTCATATGATTTTATCAGTAGCTTATCATTAGACCAATATATATTTATTTCAAACGGCAGGTGTTTTGATAGTTAACATTAGCCATTTAGCTGACTTCGGGCTTCACAGAGATGGGAAACATCAAAGTGGCAAAAATTCGAGAGGGGGACAGAGTAATGATTCACAGATGTAACAAAGACAGAAAAACAGACAAAAAGGCAGAGAAAAGGTAAGATAAGTACTGTGGAAGGGGTCGAATAAGGCACACAGTGGGGTGATGGTAGTTTGAAGTCAAAAGTCAACTGCTAGTTAATAGTCTTTTTTGTCGTATGAGTATACGTTGCCCAGAGTGCACCACGTGGAGGTAAGTCTATCGCACACCCCCTTTAGACCAATATTATAAAGTATGCTACGGGGCGTACGATAGACTTACCTCCACGTGGTGCACCTTGGACAACGTATACTCATACGACAAAAAGTCAATAATTGTCAGTTGACTTTTGACTTTAAGCTGACATCACCCCAATGTATGTTATATTCGACTACTTTCACAGCACTCATCTCACCTTTTTTCTGCCTTTGTGTCTGCTTCTTTTATATCTTTGAAGCGATCTTCTGTCCCCTCTCTCGACTTTTTTCCACTTTGATGTTTCTTCTCCTCTGTGAAGCCTGATGTCAACTAAAGACCTAATGGTTACTACCGGAACGCCAGATATTTGATATAAATAAATAAAGTATGCTACTATTGCTCAGACCCCAGGNCAGACATAACCACGCTCACTTAATGAAAGATTACTTCGTTATGCCATAGCCTATCAGGCTTTTGACTTGGAAACCGATGATGTGGTATCAGTATTGCACTCTTCGCGCAAAACA